ACACACACACACACACACACACACACACACACACACACACACACACACACACACAACACACACACACACACACACACACACACACACACACATCACACAATTTTTTATAAATTTTATGATAAATTCATAGTTACTATTATTATAGGCATTGATACTGTTTTACAATGATAATATTCTGTGCATGTATGTGTATATATGTGTGTTGTGTGTGTATGTAGAGAGAGACAGAGATGGATAGATAGATTGACAATTAGATATATATGTGTTTATAAACATGTGTATTTCACTTTTCAATATTGCTTTAATTCTAACCGTTAGTCTTAGTAATGATATCCATTTTATCAGGAGTTCTATAATAGATTTTTATAGCTTATCAATTAGGAGTATTCTCTTAATCATTAGCAAAACGATTGTCATTCCTTAGTGTGCCGCATTTGGTTCCACATCTAGCATTTGTGTTTCCACATTTATTCCTTTTAATAATTGCTTATCTCATTGATATATGATGATTTTTTGTATTTTAATCATATGCAATCTGTTACCTTGTTCTATTTTCCATTCACAGTGCACCAGTTAGTATTCTCCCTGACCGGATTCCTTTGGCCCCAGTCATGGACAAAGAAATATTTGGAACAGGAGTCTGTATCAAAGAAGAGCTCAGCGAAGGTGTCATCGAAGAGATCTATTTAGAAATCAAAGAAGAACCGCTTGATCATGCAGATGAAGCAAGGGATGAAGTGAGCAAAGCGAAAGAGGATCGTGAATTACTTTCCTTTAAGGATCTTCAAAACCTCAGCCATGAAGAAAGTGAAAAAGACTCGTGGGATATTGAGGATTGCAATACCTTGTCAAGAGCGTCATTTGTGGCTGAGGAAAATGAGAAAAGATGTTCATCAGAAGAGGATCAGGCAAAGCATAAAGAAAGTCATAGAGAAGTTACACACAGAAAAGTGGCTAGGAAACTGAAGCGTTTTTTATGTGAAGTGTGTGGCAAGACATTCTGTAATAAGACAGATATAAAGATTCATATGAGAGTACACACAAAGGAGAAGCCATACAGTTGTGATATTTGCAACAAAGCTTTCTCAACTAAAAAGTGCCAAGTGCTACACATTAGAGTACACACAAAGGAGAAGCCACACACCTGTGAATTTTGCAACAAAGCATTCTCAAGGAAGAGTGATCAAGTCAGGCACAAAAGAGTACATACAAAGGAGAAGCCATACATTTGTGATATTTGCAGTCAAGCCTTCTCGCAGAAAAATAGTTTAGTAAAGCACATGAGAATACATACAAATGAGAAACCATACAGCTGTGAGATTTGCAATAAAGACTTCTCGGATAAATATGACTTAGCGAGACACATAAGAGTACATACGAAAGAGAAGCCATATATCTGTGATGTATGTAATAAAGACTTCTCACAGAAAAGTTTACAAGTGATACACATGAGATTACATACAAAGGAGAAACCTTACATTTGTCAAATTTGCAATAAGGCTTTCACACGGAATAGTTGCCGAGTGAGACACATGAAAATACATACAAAGGAGAAGCCATACATCTGTAAGATTTGCAAGAAGGCTTTCTCACAGAATAGTTGTCGAGTGAGACACATGAGAGTACATACAAAGGAGAAACAGCTGTGAAATTTGCAGTAGAGCTTTCTCACAGAAAAGTAGTTTTGTAAAGCATGTGAGAGTGCATACAAAGAAGAAACCATAAGCCAGATAAAACTGGCTCAGTGAAACATAGAGTATATATAAAGAAGCCATATATGTATAAAGCCTTCTTTGAGAAAAGTCATCATGTAAGGCATAAGAGAGTATATACAAAGGAAAAGGGATATATGCAATGTCTTCACTTTGAAATAGATTCTAGTAAAGCACGTAAGAGTATATACAAATAAGTATGATACCTGAGGTTTCCAATGAAAACTTATCTCTATAATATAATTTAACTGATGCGCAAGAGTTCATGCAAAGGAGTAATGGGCCTGATGATTCTCTGAGGAATCTGATTGTGTGTGGGAATGCGAAGTAAGGATTCTCTGGGAAAGAAAGAATACTTCAGGGTATGTGTATAAGATATGTAGCTATACCTTCACCTAGAAATATTGTGTGTAGGAATGCAAAATAAGGATTCCCTGGGAAAGAAAGAATACTTCAGGGTACGTGAAGGTCGCAGGCCAGACGTGTACGAGATATGCAGAGGAGAAATTTCGTAGGTCCTGAGATTTATCAGTAAATAAAAAGATAAATAGATCTACAAAAAACCTTCCTCTTGGCATTATAGGGACAGATGCATCATATGCTTTGAAGGTTCTCTTTTTCTTTTATATTCATGTGTTTTTTTTGTTTTGTTTTTTTCTCAAGACTGATCAAGTTTTATGTGTTATGACTTGCATTTTAGTCTATATAGACTTGTTCCCCATGTGACGGGCTATAGATTCCAGATCCTTCATAAATTTTGAAGGTCGTCATTTTCCAACTTGTGCTCT